AGGGTTTAGGGTTTAGGGTGAGTGTTGGCTCGAAGGCTTTACACATTATATGGAGGTCTGAACAGCTAGTGATAGTATCCCATGACGAGACACAAGGCGTGACCCGAAACCCCTAAACCCCATGAGCTTGAACCTCGACACCCTGATTACATCAGCAGACTACCGGCTTTCCAGTCTCGTCTCTGTGTCTAACAGGAGCAGATCCTTTGTGGGTTCGAAGAACCCATGGATGCCAATGCCTCAGCTATGCCTCAGGGTTTAAGGTTTATAAAGCTCAGACTCTCACTCATCCTAGACCCTAAATCGTAGGTATCCTTTAGGGTTTAGGGCGGGTGGCCGCAGCCCGAACCGCTTAATCCCCCAGGCCTCAGCCTTCAAGCTTTAAGGTGAAGGCTTCAGGCTTTGGGGTAAAGTTTAGGGCCTTTTTTACCGCTAAGCCCTGTGGCCTATTCTTGAAGCCCGCCACCATACATAGCCTCAGCTGAATATAGAATCCGTTTAAGTTAGAATGTCGAAATATGGTTCGCAGTCCATCATAGCCCCTACACAACTCAAAGTCCCAGTCTGAACGCTTCGGCGTCGTCTGCCTCGGCCCGGCCGCAAACACAGAGGGCCAACGAACTGGTGACTGGAAGGCGCCGTTGCGGAGCGGACGAGGATAAAGGGAGGGAGCAGGGGGGAGAGGGGGGGCGAAGGAGGGCTGGCGGTGGGTGGGACTGCCTACAGACAACCCAAATCCATTGGAGGAGGCGAGATTTCACCGCAGGACCCGATGACCCTTTTGGGGGATCTGGGTCACCGAAACACCAAATGGAACAGGTTCCAGCTCTCTTGCCCTAAACCGCTAAACCCTAAACCCCTAAACCCTGAACCCTGCTCTCTTGCGCGATCGCTTAGGATTCAGCTTGTGAGGTTGAGGGCTGAGTAAGACGGCGGTAACCAATTGAATGTTGTGGTTTAGGGTGGTTTGGGGTTTAGGGTTTAGGGGATTGGGTTTAGGGGGTCTTTGCGGTTTAGGGTTGACTGAGAGAGATTTACGCATGCAGGAGTACTAGTGGTAGTGGTTGTGTTAGCGGTGATGGAAGCATTGAGAAGATGCTGTCGACGATGTAAGCAAGAGGATAGCTCCTTCAGCAAGCTCTGCTATCAGATCAAGTCTTTTCAAGGCACCTTACCCCACTCCTTACCCCAACCCCCAAGATATCCCAACAGCCGCAGACAGTAGTAGGGAATAAATGCCGAAAGCTTGCATGTGTAAGTCCTTACGGTTTGAAAGTTTAAAACCTAAACCCTAAACCCTAAACCTTAAACCCTAGACCCTAAACCCTATAAGCCCTAAGCCCTAAAACCCTTAAGCCAGCTAGTGTAAGCCTCCATCGCCCATGCCATGCCGAAGCGGGCCCTGGATGAAACCGCCTCAAAGCTCTATGCAGCTGGACAGAAGTTGCGACTTTCGGGTTACTATAGGGGCCTTAGGAATTAGAATAAGGACTGGGGTAAATTCTACTGTTAATCACAACAAGATTGATAGGTGTTGGGTCGAGAATGGGGCCAACTCGGGGTTTATGAGTTTCAACTTTGTGCCTTAGGGGTTAGGGTTTTTGGCGTTTTTTCGGTTTTATGAAATGCGGAGTGAAGTGATGGTATGCCGCCGTGGCCTCAAGTCCAAGGTCTGGGCCACATCCGGCAAGCAGGTTGCTTCTTTCCCTCTGGACCTGGTGCCGCAAGCCCTAAAAACCCTAAACCCTAAACCCTAAACCCTAACTCCACAACAACCTCTAAGGACCTTAAACCCTGCCGGACTTTGTGGGTATAAGTCTCGGGTAGGGGATGGGGCCCATGAGGACCTAGAGTTTCGGGCACCTTATCTAAACCCTAAACCCTATAAACCCTAAACCCTAGACCCTAAACCCTAAACCCTAAACCCTAAACCCTGAATCTTCAGAGCCCCAGACGTCGGACCCCATATGGGAGTTTCCGAAAATTAGGGGTACCTTTTTTGGGGGTCCTTATAATAGGGATTCTACTATTTTGGGGTACTATATTAGGGTCCCCTATTTTCGGAAGCCCCCATATGGGTAGCTCTCTAAACTAGGGTCCCTTTGAGGGTCCTTTTTATAAGGGTGCCCAAGAAGGGACCCCAATTTAGAAGACTACCCATATCGCGAGGAAGAGCTGACGGATGTTCAGACACTCAAGGTGCACTTGGAGAAGTCCTGCGGCTTGCCTGTCTGGTTCAGGAGTTTAGACTCGAATCTATGATTTGGTGTTGAGGGTTTAGGCCTTCTTCTCGGGATCACAGCACCTTTTGTTGCTCAAAAGGTTTTCCGGGGTGCCCTATTGTTACGACGGCCGTAGAACACAGAAAATCCGTGTTCGCACAGAGCTTTTCACCCTACACCTCTGCACCCGGCCCCCGAACCTTCCATAAGTGACTAAGTCTAGTCCCTAAACCCTAAACCCCATGGTTCAGTTCTTGGCTTTATTTAGTGTAGCACTGATTGCAGGCTGTTTCGGAGAGTAAGAAGGTCTGTTTTGGGCATCTGGGCTTTAGGGCTTTAGCTCCCAGATCCTAAACCCTGATCACAGGCGGCGTCCCACGATTCCGGCAGAGGCTCCTTTCTCAGCAGAGCATCCTGGCAGATGACCACTGCTTAGACCTGCCTGTGCATGTACCTTGGCCGCTGCGGTGTTCTGGGAAAGGGGTTGCTGCATCCCTGAACCCTGCGTTTTAGACTCAAACTCGAAATAGCAATACTCAGGGTCTACACGAAGGGTCTCTTATTTTTGAGAGTTCCACTTGGCTTGGGCCGTGCCTTGTGGTTCTGAAGGGTGTTCTAGGGGTGGACCTGCTTCAAATATCAACTTCCTCACTCGTTCCCTCTGAAACCCTAAACCCTAAACCCTAAACCCTAAACTCAAACCCTCATCCCGACCTAGAGGTACAGTTGGTCCTCCTTCCTTTCTGCAGTGCTTCATGGGAGCAGCGAAGGGAGCTCGTCCTCGCGGCCAGCAGGGGTGCGGCAACTCTCGTGGAGCAGCTCTTGCAACGCCCTCAGGATCCGAACTTGATGGACTGGCTCGGCCATTCTGATCCTTGGGCACAGAACTAGAGACATTCAAGGGGGCTTAAACCCTAAACCCTAAACCTTAGCACACACATCAATAAGCCCTCAACTCGCAAGCGCTCGACGGGATCCCCACCCTCCCTCCGACCACCAAAACAACAAAGAACAAAGCGGAACGCAACACGAAAAGAAACCGACACCCTTTGTCCCGAAAAGCACATTTTCCCCTGAATCCTCCACGGTTTCGGGTTTAGAGTTTAGGGTCATTTAGATACCGAAAGTTCGAAGCCCAAAGGCTCTGACAGAAGCAGCACGTGCAAACCACATGCCGATCGCTGCTTTATTGCTGGAGGCGAAGTCTGATCCAGACTCTCAGATTTGCTTTGGGTTTAGGGCTTCGGGTCTGGGGATCCCGGTGGGCCCTTTTGTCCCTTTTCGTGCTCATAAGCAAAACTACTCAATGACATTCCCAGATCACTGCGAATCCTACTTTTAGAGACTTTGAAGTTAAGGCTTTAGAGATTCTTCAATCGTTCTACACAGGGGCTTCTTCGGGCTTAGGGTTTCGAGTTTAGAGGTTCCCCTAAACCCTAAAAATAAACCCTAAGCCAGCCCTAAACCCTAGATAGGCTCCAGGGCTTAGGATGCTCGGCCAGTCTGTGCTTTTAGCGATTTGGCAATCTAGGGTCGCGGGTTTTCGTGGAGCTGTTCCTTAGGTTTAGGGCTCTTGCTTTCTACTGCGGGACTCGCGGGGGGGGGGGGGGGGGGG